CTGATCAGTAAGTAACTGTCCTGCTTAATTTGCGACCTTAACATTGTGTTTTCTGTCTGTTTGACATCAAAGAACATCTTGCTTTGCACTGCCAAGAATCAGCTGAGGTGTATGTATTTTCCAGTTCTTGGCCCTAAATATTAGCTCTTTGTCTCCAGATTTCTAGTTCTGAAATAGCTCTGGGGCTTGTGAGCATGAATATGAGAGTTCTAAATATCTCTATATTTTATAATTATTTATTAAATGTTGCAAATAATATTTTTATATTAGACCCCTGCCACCACCAAAGCCATAACAGGCACTAGAACAGATGAATACTATACGATTTGAATCACCCACTTGCCATGCTTTGCAGATCCTTTCATACCAGGTCACAACTCTTTCTTGTCTGTCTGAGTATCCACTGCCCATTTTGCACCCTCTCAGGTTTGTTCAAAGTGTACAATATTCAACCTGCCACTATGCCCCAATCCAGGCCACATTCTTAGCTCATTTCTTATGATCAGAGCAGGGACTGGGAGGGAGGCTATGCAGGCATATGGTGAAAGGTAGATGTTCTGTTTCATAGCAACAGAAAGAACTACCTCCCAGATGTATTGAGATAAATGTGACTGTCATAACTATCTTCTGGGCACTAACCTCAGCCAATCAGGTTATGAGCAATTATTAGGTTCTTTTAGGTCAAAACTGGAGAGCCTCCCATAATTACTGGCCAGTGGGTGTTGTAGTCTCTTCCCCACCAAGTCACAACAAAGCAGACCCTGACTCATTTTTACTACACAAACGGACATCCTCTAGCAAGCAGGCACATGGCTGCCATGACCCTGTTCCGCAAGCTCGATGGAGTCCCTATCCTGCCCTTTTATGAAGGCTTCGTGGACATGGGAGATTCATTATGAGCAAGTGCAACAATATTCTAGCATCAGGATTCAGCTGTCTAGTTGGACTAAGGCCTTGAGAAAGGCCTGGGTCCAGATCAGTAGGTGGACCCAGGACCATTTAGGAATCAGGCCTAGGAAGCCATTCCTACGGGGACAGAATCTAGGACTCCCTAGATTTTTATGCTCTGTTCAAAAAAAAGGTGCAGAAAGGTTCTAGTGTGTTTCTATTTGATTAAATACTAACCATGTCTGAGATGGGATATTTCAGTTAGGGCAACAGACTGCCCTGGGATTGTTGACTGAAATGAACACATACATTCTTACCACCTGGTTTATATCAGGGATCATCAAACTCTTTCTGTAAAAGGCAATATAGTAAATCTTTTTGGCTTTTCAGGCCATTTGATCTCTGTTGCAATTACTCAACTCTGTCTTTGAAGTGCAAAAGCACCATAGCTAGTACTTAATGAATAAATATGGCTGTGTTTGGATAAAGCTTATTTCCAAAGCAGATGAAGACTCTGATTTGGCCCCAGGGGTTGCTGACCCTGGTCTTTACTGAGCATTGTAAAGTAAATTACAGACATTAATGTACACAGTCTATGTTTTTGTCCCTCCCCTAGTCAATCCATATCCCTTTCTAAAACCTTCCTAAAAAGAGCCTGCTCAGGTTTTATCCAGCAAGTGGTGCTTAAACTGAGCTTGCCTTGTGATTAATGAATTCCAGTAGCATGTATTGATCACCTACTGCTGTAGCTGGTGGTGATTCTTAAGACACAGTTCCTGGCTGGCAGGTGTGACTCAGTTGGTTAGAGTGTCATACCATACACCAAAAGGTGGCGGGTTCGATTCCTGGTCAGGGCACATATTCAGGTTGTGCGTTTGATCCCAGGTCAGGATGCATGTGGGAAGCAAATGATCAATGCCTCTCTCTCTCTCTCTCTCTCTCTCTCTCTCTCTCTCTCTCTCTCTCTCTCTCCTCCCCCCATCCCTCTCAAATTAAGTAAATAAATAAAGACACAGTTCTTGCCTAAGAGAAGTCCGGGCTCTATCAGTGAATGGATTACATAAAGGAGGTATTAAGAACTTTAGCAGAGCTATGGATGAACCACAAGAGATGGTACAATTAATTTCAGGGCAAAGTCATGGAGGACTTTATAGAGGAGGTGGCATTGAGCTGAGTTTTAAGAATAAGCAGGAGTTTTTCACAGTACAAGGCTACCTCCAGCAGAGGGAACATGTAGGCAAAGGGGGATACCAAGGGCCAGGGTACTTCAATAAATTAGTACAAGTTAAGTCTAACTGGAGCCTAAAGTGTGTGTGGCAGAATGGTGAGAGTTAAATCTGGATAAATAAGTTGAGGACCAATTATAAATGGCTTTATCTGTTAAGCTAAGGGGTTTAAACTGAATCCATAGGCCAGGCAGCCAGGAGAAAGCAGAGAAGTTTTGAAAGCAAGGGTCATAAGATCATATTTGGTTCACAGGAGGAATAACCCTGATTGCAGTGTGAAAGATAAATAGGAAGAGGCAGGAGAGACGGAGATTGAGATATGAGTCTAGGTGAGAGATAATGAGAGCAGTGGGAATGAAAGGAGGCATGGATTGAATAGCCATTTCTGGGGTAGAATGAACAGGATTTAGTGATTGTGTGGATTGGAGGTTAGGCAGAGAGAGTGATTTGGGGATGACAGTTGGATTTCTAGCTCGGGGATGGGGTGAAATGAAATACCATCCCCGGAGATGGAGAATACAGGAGCTAGGATGGGGTTTTTTGAAGGAAAATAATGAGCTTAGTTTGCACCAGGTAAGGTAGAGGTGCCTGAGGGAAATCCAAGGCAGTTATAACACAGAATGAAGCACAGCAAGACCCTATGCCTCATATCATGACTCAGGAAGTCTGATGGCCCGAGAGACAAGTAATATTAATGGATTGTGACAGTAGAATCATTCTAGTAGCTGGGAAGGGAATGGCATACGAAGAGTACATCCAAAATAGTTTGGATTTAAAACACCTAGAGCTGCACAGAAGAAAACTCAGCATCATCTAGGTCTCTCTAGGATGCCTGTGACTGAGGTAATGGGATCTCACAATGAACTTGGGTTTCTTAGATAGCCCACTTTCACCCAGGCTCTTTGCAGAAACACCGAGGCAAGACTGTGGGATTCCTATGCAGAGCGATTCCACAGCAAACCAGTGATGAAATGACCAGCTAGTATAGGAAGAGACTCTCTGGGGAGTTCCTGCACCATGTGGAGTGGGCGAACTGTGATTCTCCACTTTGCCTCTGATATTGTCCTGAGATATATATATTTCAATGCTAGCCTAAGTCTAGGGTGCAGGCTCTGAATCTTTATGGAGGAAATGTATATTCTGCATCAATGTAAATTATAGAAAACTAACACAGCAGGCTGACTTTGCTGGCTGTCCCACCCTCTCTTTGTCCTTCCTTGCTTTTAGTGAGACCCTATCCCTGGTCTACACCCCCTTTTATCCCCTCCTGTCATGATCACACAAGCTGCTCAGAGACCTCCATTGCAGTTTTCACTCCTGATGTTTCTCCTATCTCTTACTTGCCTTTCCCCACTACTCTCCCTCATCTGTACTCCACTTTGAGATCTGTCTAAAGGTCACTCTGATAGTTAGGCTCTACTGGCAGTTTTTTCAAGAGCTGGAGTCCTAGCTGGTTTGTCTCAGTGTGTCAGCCTGTGGACTGAAGGGTCCTAGGTCCAATTCCAGTCAAGGGCACATGCCTGGGTTGTGGGCTCAATTCCTGGTGGGGGGCATGCAGGAAGCAGCTGTCAATGATTCTCTCTCATCATTGATATTTCTCTCTCTCCCTTCCTCTCTGACATCAATTAAAAAAAGAAAAAGAAAAAGCTGGAGCCCTGGGCAGGTTCTGACTTGATATTGGAATTAGATGTGGTCTTTCATTCTAAAACCTGACCCCAGGCTCTGTCCTCAACTCTGAGGGCACAGCTTTTAATCCCTACCTGTGCACTGAAGCCCATTCCCTTCTCTTCCAAGACAGGGCCTTGCTTCACTGTGGTGCTTATTCCTGCCAATATTTCTCACTTCTGCCCTCAAGTAAATTCCCTAACCCTCTCATAGCTCACATGTCCCTCTTTCTACTATCCTATCTCTTTTTATAATAAAATTATTCTATAGGCCTGTCTCTTCTCTCTCTCTCTCTCTCTCTCTCTCTCTCTCTCTCTCTCACACACACACACACACACACACACACACACACACACACACACACACATTCTCCTTCCCTCTCACTCTGGCTCTCACTTTCAACTTCTTTTGTAAAAGTATATTATTAGAACAGTAAGAAGCATATACTGGCCAATGCTACTTCCTCCGATACGGCACTGAAACTCTGCTGAAAAGCCACCACCAATCTCCTAATTGTCAAATCCTATTGCCATCTTCTAACTTCTTTCCTCTTTCACATAAACACCCTGCCACTCATTTCTTTGATTTTGAGGGTTCTCTCTCTCCTTGTTCTCCTCTCACCCTTCTGAGCACTCTCTCTTAATTGCTTTCGGGGTTTCTCTCTTTCTTTACCTCTTAAATACTTAACCCTCAATTCTTCTGAGGTCTATCCTTAGCCTGCCTCTCTTCTTGTTCCACATTCTCTTTCTCAGTTCCAAAACCAACAACTCTCAATCCAGGCTCTTCTCCTGGGCCCCAGATGGACATTTTTAGTCCCTGCACACGTTATACTATGTTCGCCGTGCTGCTCCTCATTTCCTTCCCAGGACTATGGTCCCACCAACCAGGCAGGCACCTGACAAGAAATTGTCTCACCACTTCTTGTCTCTATTAATAATATGGCCTCAAAATACTGATCCCATCTTTTTTAAAAAATACATTTTATTGATTTTATTACAGAGAGGGAGGGAGAGGGATAGAGAGTTAGAAACATTGATGAGAGAAACATCAATCAGCTGCCTCCTGCACACCCCCCACTGGGGATGTGCCCGCAATTGAGCCCGCAGGCCGACGCTCTATCCACTGAGCCAAACTGGTCAGGGCACACTGATCCCATCTTGCTGTTCTATATCTTCTTCAGTTTATCCATTACTTGTTGACAGTATAATTTTATTTATTTTTTTATCTTATAAAAATAACATCATTGAATTCTTTTTCTCCTATATAATTCCATTTGTGCTGAATTTTCTATAAAATCTCTAATAACATGGCATACATTTTAACAGCAGATTAGGAAAAATAACATAATAGTTCAGTACATCTATATTTTTCTCCTAATGTTGTAGGTTGCTCAACATATTATACTCACTACTAGATGAAGTAGCCCATTCAAAAAAAAAAAAAAGACTTTCCCAAACTTGGGACTGGAGTTTTCCTGTCTCCATTGACAGGAAAATTGATGTCCTGAAATTAGACTTACTTATTTATAAGTGGCCTTGACTAGGCATATATACAGATATATTATAATTTATTTTTATAAAATTCAATTAACACTCATTGTGGTGGTAAAAAAAAACCACTTCAATTCTTTTGGATAAAATCCTGCTTAATGACTAATTTTTAGCATTACTACATGAAGTTGTGTAAGCATCCTATATTGCTAATAGACTTATTACGCTTAGAATATAAGATGCTCCTATCCCATGGAGGAGAGGAAAAAAATATTACAAACTGACCTAGGAGAAATATCCCACACCTGAAAATCGGGAAATGTGGTATTCTCAGTGCTGAAGCTAAATACTTATTTTCTTGGCTCAAAAATTTATATTTTCTATTTTAATATTTCAGAGATTGGGGTGCATCTAGTTAGTGTGTTGTGGTCTTCTTTTTAAATACTTAAAATTGATAGTGTATCGCACAGAGACCAACAAATTAAAAATAAAATCTGATATCCGCCTGACACTGGGTGAATCACCTATTTCTTAAGGGTTTTGTTTCTTCATTTATAAAATAAGGGATTGTTTCCAGAATATTCTTCCTTTAGTAAAATTATATTATTAGAATAGTAAAAAGCATATATTGGCCAATGCACACTTACCAGGCATTATATTAATGCATGTGAGGCTTTAAACAGAATGAAATCCTGCAGTTTACCCTCTAGGGAGGCTGCAGATGATGGGGGAGATGCAGCCCAAACTAAAGGTATTCTTGACAGTCCTCCACAACCTTAAATGCAAATAAAAAGCATTCCATTTAAGTACTACTTGAGAGCTGAGAGTCCTGGCCAAAAAAAAGTTATCACCTGGGAAGAGTCAATCAAGGTCAGAAGCCAGAGAAGCCAGGCACCTTGAAGGCTCTGGCAGCTGAGCAGCTGGCAAGCGCAGACAGAATCCCCACAGCCACCCGGGAGGAACGTGGGCCTGCACTGCTGGGAAAAGCTAAGCCTGAACACATGGGCTAATGCAGATGATCATCTGCATTCATCCAGAGAAGACATGAGCTCAGAGTCGAAGAGCTTGTCTGTGATAAATGCAAAATTCTGGGTAATGAATTATGAGAGAAATGTTTGGAAATCAGAGACCAGATGGCATCTTGGAATTGTTAGTAATCCTGCTTTAGGGCATACATTCATATTCCTAGGATGCTGCTCCAAATCTGTTTTCCTCCCCTTAAAGATCTGCCGTAACCCTGAAAGGGACTGACCATAACACATCTGCTTGTGCAGCTGCACGGAGCAGCCCTGGACTCCAGGTGTTGGCCCTTCACGTCCTGCTACGCTCCTCCTCTGTCTTCTTACTGTGCTGACACCATTTGTCTCCTCCAAGGCAAGCCAGTGTGGTGGGAGTAGAAATGTGTGGAGCTGGTAGGCAGGCTTTTGTTTTTAGGTTTATAAAAAGAACAGAGAACATATATAACAAACATCTGAGTTCCCACCACCAATATGTAACCATTGTTTCCATTTAATCACTCATTCTTGCTGCAAATAAAGTTAAAGTCCTCGCTTGTTTTCTTTAAGAGTCTCTTTCTCCTCCAGGGGAACCACTACCACGAATTTGGTGTGTATTTTAACAGTAAAGTTTGGGGCTGTTTAAATTCCACTTTTAGAACTGGAAGTTCTGTTAGGGTCTAAGCTTTTCTGATTTTCAAATGATGATATTAAAGCCTAGAAGAATTAAATAATTAATCCAAATACCCCCCCCTTTTCTTTCCCTCTCCCTCTCCCATTCTGAATTTATCCAGCAGTCACCATTTGCTCATCTATGCTATGAAAACTTTTAAGAAAATAAAAGAAAAAAAGGAAGGGAGGAAAAGGGAAAGATAAACATGGCATGGCTTAATTTCTCTGAGCAGGAAAGTGATATTTACACATGTGAAACAGGAAATGATGCGACAGTATAGGATTAAAGGTTAACCTCCATATGATGAGGGCCAAGTATGGAACATTAGGAGGTACTGTGCACCATCTGGAAGAGGACCGTTAGTACTGACTGGATTGTTGGGAAAGGTTCTACAGGTGGGGTCCACGGTGGGAGGGTTCACTTTGATCCTGATGCAGAATGAAGAAGAGGAAGGGATGAAAGAAAGGTCACAGCAAGATGTGCTGGGAATAGTGGAAGACAAGCTTATGAAATCATCAAAGTGTGCAGGAGACAGATTGTGGCAGTGCCATGTATCAGCTGAACAAATTTTTACCTATAAATTGGTAATTGTCTCTTTTTTCAACCATAACATCTAATAAGTGGTGATAGCTTAACAAAAGACACTCAGTAGTGAGAAGGCAAATTGGTAAAACTTTTTTGAAGAAGACTTTGTCTCAGAAGCTCAAATATGAGTGTTCTTAAACCAGCAATCAGCCATGTGCTTTTGAATAGAAAAAGAACAAATTAAATGTTTTTAAAAGGCCATTATAATTACATATATTTTGTATTTAAAATGGTATATAGTTGTAGTAAAACATATGGAACCAGGATATATTAAAATATAAAAAACATAGAAAACCAAACACACAGTATATTTTGTTTAAAAAATATATATGCACATAGGAAAAAGACTGGGGGAAAATACACCTGTATATCAGCAATGATTATTTCTGGGAGGCAGAATCACTCACTTGTGATTTCTCTTTCCTTCTTGTTGTTTGTTCAGATTTTCTAAAATCCCTTCCATGAACATGTTTGCTTTTGTAATAAGGAAGAAAATTATAAAATGGCAAACCATAACAAGTATGTTTTTGTTGAAATAATCTGAATCTCACAGAGCCAAAAAATCTAATTATCCTCATTTATGAAAAATGAATTAATTTCACTGGTTCTAAGAACATGAGATGTGATGTTCTGGTGGTCATAAGTCCCAAATGGTGATGTGATTGAAAAAGAAAACACACACTCCTGAAAGTGTAAGGGGGTAAAGAATAACTTAGGGGGCCTTAAGGCTTGAATATGGTAATGATTTAAAGGCTCAGTTAATTCCTTTAAGAAAACCATGCTGCCACATGCACTTCTTCAAAGGAATATTCTTGCCTGACAGATAGTGTATCTGAAGTGTAGCCTCATGTCCAGTGACTCTTTTATGTTTGTTAAACTGCTCCTCAGGCAACTTTCTCTTTTTTCCTTGTGTGTGTGTGTGTGTGCGCACGTGCGCACGCGCGCACACGCTTAAAATGAAATATGTGCAAACAAACAAAAACCTAACAGTATTTCTTCCCTGAAACAGGTATGTCTCAGATTTTGCCACTAGCTTACCAATAATTTTGGGGCAGTTCCTTATTCATTTGGAGCTTTAGGTTCCCCTCTAGACAATGAAGTACTGAGAAAATGTTCCTCTAGCCTTAAAATTCCCTAGCTCTATGATTATAACAAAAGTTCTCATTCAAATTGTCATATGTACACACAAGATCAATCTGAAAGAAACATGAATACCTAGTGAACCAGTTTTACCACCATTTGTACCAAAAGTTGTACAAAAGTTTGGGGCTAGTGAAAATTCACAACTGTGTTTGACTTGAGTGCCTATTTCATAGGACCGATGACTAGATCAATCCCAATGAAAATATCTGCTTTGATTTACCTGGTAGTACTTGAATCATTGTAAATATATGTATACACCAATAACAGGATTGATTAGTGTTTCCCCCATTGTGTGTGTGTGTGTGTGTGTGTGTGTGTGTGTGTGTGTGTACTAGTATATACACATAAACCCACACAAAATGGTAGGAAAAATCCATAATGTAAGTATTCAGGGATGCATGACATAGAAGAGGGGCTCATCTCCTGGGCTTTATTGAAAGAATTAATATTGGAGAGTTGGGGAGAAGCAGCATGCTGAACTTTCCCTTAAATATTCCCAAAAGTGAACTCACTTTTTTGACTTGATATCACTAGAAACAAAAAATGTGAACTTTTTGTGTAGGTCAGTATCCTCGGAGCCCAGGACAAAGAGAATGAGCCTCCAGAGCCTACCTGGGCTGACAGCCTGGCCACCACACCTTCACCTGAGGCTGCCACCATCCAGGGGCCATTGCGCAGCCCCTCTGAGGATAGGACCATGGGTCTGGAAGCTACAACTCCAAGCCCCAGTTTGAACTTACAGTGGGGAAAGCTGGTGCACAAAGGTAAGAGATACCTGCCAATCAGCTGCTGCATCTACAATGTGAAGAAGGCACAGAGAAGATGGTCTCTAAAATCTCATTTAGAGAGAATGTATTTTGATTGCAAACAGGGGGAACAGAAGATAATTTCATTTTATTATATATAGAACTAGAG